ACTATTTTTGGTTAATTTTTTATTAGTTCATTCGAAAAAAAAGGCAGTAACGAAATAATCTCTGAGTGAATGATTTTATATTATAAGACTCATCAATCTATTATAATATTCATATCCATCGTAATCACCCTGCTTATAATGCTTCAATTATGCATGCAGTTGGTCCTTGTACTCATGAAATGGCATATATTGCTCTTTAAACTTATGTTTTAGGTCAGCTCATGTATGTTTAGTTTCACTTACTATATGTTGTCACAAAACTCACAATGATTTAACACATTCCACTAGTTTTGTTTCAACAAATTTTAACTCTTTGAAAAAATATATTGGAAAAGAAGTATTTCTAGGTGTTGATTAATTCCGAAAATTCCTTAAAGCTACGCCTTTAATTGAATGTAAGAATACAATTTTGATCCTCAAGATAGTGACGATGTGTTTGTCGAGAACCATAGCTTACTCGATTCAGTTCAAATTGCATATTCTATTTGTTGGAATCATTGTGCTACTTTTAGTTAATATGATAAGACTATCAAAGTGTATAATATTATAGGATTTTTTTAATACAAATATTTATTATCATGAAATATATGCAAATACTCATAAATTAGTTAATCAACTAACATATTGGGTGTATAAATATGTTTTCTATTATTTAAATTTATTATGCAACTTTCATCACATTTAAAATAATAATTATTTTTAAGAAGTTTGAGTGCTTTTCTTCTTGTACTCAAGGCTCCATAGTTCGAAGGCGTAATATGAAAGATTATGGTTTTATAATCACCTAATAGTATGTTCATCTTGTGATGCTAATATTTTTATAGGTATTATTGGAAATCATAGCCAACTTAATTAGTTAATGAAGTTAGATTTTTTTAAAAGTGTTGTTTAATTTATTGGATGTATAAATTTATTTTCTATTATTTAAATTTATTATGCAACATTGCAACTTTCATCACATTTAAAATAATAAGTTATTGGATGTATAAATTTATTTTCTATTATTTAAATTTCTTATGCAACTTTCATCACATTTAAAATATGAAAGATTATTTTTTATAAGTTTAGCTGCTTTTCTTCCCATATTCAAGGCTCTATATTTTGAAGGTATAATATGAAAGATTATGGTAATCATATTTATAATCACCCAATAGTACGTTCATCTTGTGATGCCAATATTTTTATACGTGAAATCATGACGAACTTAATAAGTCAATGAAGTTGGATTTTTTAAAAGTGTTGTTTAATTTATAAACAATTTATACAATTATTTTTAATATGATTTTTATCTGAAAAAATATAATAATAAATAAATAATTAAATAAAAAATTAAAATTGAACACTAAAACTAATGTAACAATTGAAAAGACTGGAAGTGAAACTTTAATAACAAATTAGAAATTGACTATGAAAACCTTTAACTATGAGAGTTTGTAGGTTAATGTTTTTGTATGCCTTTGTATTTTGCACACCTGTTTGTGGAGACTTGTGTTATGAGCATCTTGTCCTAATAAATTCTTGGTATTTAAGAAGTTTGGGAGAGATCCTGTAATTTTTTTGGTTTCTTCCTTTGTTCTTTTTGTAATTATGTTGGAAGGCTGAGATCTACTATGTGGAGCCTACATTTGCGGAGCGGGTTAGTTGCATTGAAGTTTCAAAAATATTTTAGTGAATCTTCATACCCGTGATAGCTAGCATGATGGATCTTTGCTTTCTATTCCTTTGTGATGTATATGGAATTATTGTTAAATATAAGACACGATTATCTTCATTTTCCTCTTATAATTATGTCAATGTTGTGTATTTGGAATGAGGATGCAAGGACGGTGCCTGGCAATTATATTGTTGGAAGGACAGTGTGACCTCTGTAGTTGACTGTTTGATCTTACTGATGACAAAATTTGGAGGATTGGGTGACCATGTAACCTCATGATGTACCATATTACTATATTAGGAGGATTTGTGTGACCTTTGATAATATTGCACTTATCCAAATGATGAACTTTGGATGCTTATGATGTGACTTGATGTGCATAGATGACAAATGCTTGTCTTGATGAGTCTTTCCATGTTTTACATTGAGCTAACTCTTGTGTACTAATAGCTTCAATGTGCTGGCATTTTCCACTGTGTTTTACTCATCATTTGTTTTATTTTTACAAGTGAGTTTGACCTCCTCATCCACACTAAGAAAGACAGACTGATGGCACTATTGACCTCAGTTATATGGGGGACTTACAAACCTTTGTGAACTAGATAGCAAGGATTACGTGACGACATAGGGTGGCTCATCACCTATGCAAAGAGAAATATGCGCAAGTGGAAATCAACCTAGGCTCTGCGGGTACGAAGGGTTCTTTTCAAACTTGTTGTAAGTAGTGTGAAAGGAATGGTGAAGAAGTATATAGAGGGACATAGGAGGTTGCTGTGTAGAACTGCCCATTTACTTTAAGAGACGATTTTTCATTGAAAGACTGCTCCAACAACACTTCTCCGTGGTTCTTCTTTAACTTCTCCTTGGCTCCATGGCTTTGGGTTTTTGAAGAGGGGAGGGGGGGGGCTTTCCCTTTCTCCACTCGTAATGTAAGACTAAATCCTATATGGGGAAAGTTGTAGCAAGTGGGGTGCCGAGGTTGACAGTTGGACCTGTTTGTAAGCAATTAAGCAAGGCTGCTAGGCAAGAGGTGTAGTAGGCTTTTATAGGCTCTTCAACACCCCAAAAAATCCAGATTGGTTATTTGTCTTCTTAGCTTTTTCACAATTTATTTGCAAAATTTCTTGGTTGTGCATGGGATTCAATGCTTTGTCTTCTTAGCTTTTTGACAATTTCTTGAGCTATCATTTTTGCTGAGGACTCGAGCTTGTCATGGAAAATCCCTTTTGAAGGGCTGAACCTTTTATTTCGAGAAGCAACCAAGCAAGTGGACATCTCTTCTAGCATCCATCTGAAAACTCGGTCATTTTGACACTTTGATACACATATGCTTTGTTGCTATTTTTAGTTAATTCATCAGTTAGATATGTAATAATGTATCACACATTGAATGCTTGTGATTTTAGTATCCTTTAAATGGTCTTTTGCATTTCATTATATCCATCAATGAAGAAACTTTTTTTTCGTCTTATATCTGATCTATCTGGCTTACTGTCAGGCGTCTTCACTGAACTTATCCAGCAGATGCAAGTGAAAGGGGTGCAGGTAAACTATTAATTAATATGCTTAACTTATGGATTGCTAATTGTTTATAATGTATTAACCCCTTCCACAAATCCCACATTGCTAGAAACCTTTGCATTTTTTTGGGGTAATGGTCTAGTTTATATGTTGCATATTATCGTATTGTTCCATAGTTGGTTTCTTTATATCGTTTGCCATAGTAAATTTATGCTATTTATCCCAGCAAATATATCGCAGGTGTGTGTTAGCTGTGATTTTATAATATATACTTACATATTGTACCTCCAATTATAGATCGAATGTTACTTTATTGTCATGCGAATACTTTAGTGTTGCTTTTATGTAATCTTCTTTGGTAAAGTCAGTTATATTTATGTTCCTCTTTTCTTTTTGACACAAGGGAAAATATATCTGGAAGCATTGTGGTAAATAATCATGTAAGATTGCTTTAGCCTTGCATTCTCCAGTATGGATAGTTGTGGTCTATTATTTACATTTCAGTGTGGTCATTGACAAGCTGTGTAGGATTGTTAATCAGCTTTGTTTTGCCTAATATGGAAAGTGGGCTAATTGGATCTGATCTTTTTGTTAAAACCTTAAAGTCATATTAGACCAGGTGCTACGTGCTTATTTGACAAGCCAGTCAGAAAATCTAACTTGACTTGCTTAGACATTGCATGCTATAATCCAACCTGGAGATGCCATAAATGATAAGACCAATAAGGTTATTTGATGTCATTATCATCATTTGGTTGGATTTACAAACCATTTTCTAATTGTAATGAGTGTTGCAAATGATGTTAAGTCTATTCTTCTACAATCTTTTTGAACAATTTTTATTCATGTTATTTTAAGTCAACCCATTTTCTTTTTGAATCCATTAATATTAATTTTATCTACCCCGTCTGATGGGTGCATTTTCTACCAATCATTGTTTATGTTCTCATAATGAAGACTATTTTTAATTATATTATCTTTAATAAATGCTCCATCAATCATCCTTATAATATGATGACATTATCGTTCATTTATTTTTCCTTTATAATTTTGTCACACATTCTTGTTAACATTTTTATTTTCATCACACTAAACTTAGTTGTCATTTTTTTCCCTACCAAATATCATAATGCATACAACATATCTGACTTTATTAAAGTATTTGTTCAATTGATTCTGCCTTTTATTTTTTCTCTATTATTCAACTTTTTACTTGTGCAGATGTCTTATGAATATATTTGTCATCTACAAAAAGCATAAATCGAGATATCTCTTTTTGAATATCCTTTCACAGCATCTTCATACCAAAATAAAAGGATATTGTCTCAATGCTTAGCTTTGATTAATCTTATGATCCTTGAAAACTTTTTATCACTCTATAACTACTATGCAATTCTATATCATGTACATCTTTAATAATTATAACATACACTTGATATACACATTTTTTTCTTAATGTACACCATATCACTTCTTGTGATACTCGTTCATCTATTTTTTTCCAAAGGTCAATAAAAATCAGTTGAAATTCTTTTACATGCTCTCTATACTTTTCAATTAGCCTTCTTCACAAAAAAAAATCACATCCACATTGGATGTCATGGACCTTATTGGATCCTCGAACTAAAGTAAATTTTCTAAATCTATGTTTCATTATTTTGTATCATAACGTTATTCTGTGACTCAACTTGATTTTCTATAATTGGCACTCTTAAACAACTCTCTTCCTCTTAAAAAAATATTGATAATAGAATGATTCTTCTCCAATCCTTTAGCATCTTCTTAGTCTTTCAGAATTTCATTGAAATTATTTGTTAACTAAGCCATCATTAATATTACCAAGAAGTTATTGAATATCAATAGGTATTTTATTGAATCTAAGCGGTTGTTTCACTGTATTTTAGATAACAATAATATTCAGATGTGGATGTTATTTATCAAATGCAATTGTTTGGTTCAATTAACTCAACTAACGATGTAATGTCATGTAGAAAGATCATTTGTAATTTTGATGTTTATTTTTGTAGCCATTTATTTTAACAATAAGATAGCCTGAAATCTAGATGTTGGTGGATTTGTCAAACATCCAGTCCTCATCAAAATATGATATGGCACCATTAATGAAATTCATATTTAAAGACATTAAAGAATCAAACAGTGGTATGCTGATTGATTCCAAAAATATGTCAACAATCTAAACAATTGACACCTATTAGCAACACGACATTAACTATGATATGTCAATGCACTAAATAATGTTTAGAATTTTATCTTTATGCATCTTCATCTGGACTAACTCAATCTTATTTTTTTAATGTTAACAAGGCTTTTTTCTGTTTTCCCTTAGGGTGTTTAATAAATTTAAAAATTAGTCATACCTAATTAATCTAGCCACTAGCACTTCACTTGAAAGGGGTCTTTAACAATTGTGAACTTCATCCTTTTGGAACAATGAACTAGACGTGATCAAAATTTCAAGGGTCGTCTTGCTTTTCTCTTCCCCAAGATTAATGTATCCTTATTCGTTTCAATCAGAAACTTTCAATCAGTTTATTTTCTTTACTTAGATTTAGGATTTATTTAGGGAAGTTATAATTGTCTATAAAAATAGTTTTAGAATTGTTGTAGGAAAATATATTTTCTTAAATCTGCTTTGGTTATTAGACTTTCTATTTTTTTGAGAAGTTAGAACAGCCTTTAGATGGCTACCATCATATATAGCTGATTGGATTATGAAAGTTGCCGCTCAACACAGGAAAAGTAGCAAAAAAATTATGGCCAAACACGATAGTGGTATTTATTTGAAAGCAAAGCTGTGCAAAAGCTGACCCAATGGATGCTTGCTAATAAGCAGTTGTGATATGTGATTCCTTTACTATGGGATGACGCTTCATATGAGTCAATCTTTAACCCATATAGTAGCTGATTTGGGATTCCGTGGTTATTGTTTTAAAATTAATTAAAAGAGAACAGGCTCAGTAAATTTTCATTTGAAATTAGGAGCAGGATCTCTTATAATACCTATTTATAGAAATTCTCATTCAACTATGTTGAGGGCATGATAACCTGAAGAGGATTGAGTTAGACTCTTTCTGTAGTTATCCTTTGCACTCTCAATTGACATCTCTGTTAGCTTCTTCTTGTGCTTTTGATTTTTCTTCGTTTCCTAATCAGCTTTTTCTTTTGAAAAGTTTCTACCATTTTTATGTGGCTAAAGTTTTGATAGGTTTTATATGATCTATGGCCCATGCAGCTGTTTAAGTTGGCCATCTGCAATTAGAATTTGCAATTTCTCTGCTTTTCATCTGCTGTTCAAGTTGTTGACTTTGAATTCAATTATTTTATAATTTATTTGTAACCAATTTTTGTATGATGCCGATTTGTTTTTTTTTTTATAATTTTATTTTAAAACAGGTAGAAGAACTGTATTCTCTGGACATTGACACTCTAAATGAACTACGGTGTATTTTCTTTCTCAATGAGCATTATATTTGTCCATCATGTAGTTTACTTTTTCCCTTACATAACTGACGCACTGCATTTGTTCACAGGCCAGTCCATGGACTGGTGTTTTTGTTTAAATGGCGACCCGGTGAAAAGGATGATCGAGCTGTTATCAAGGATCAAGTCCCAAATCTTTTCTTTGCTAGCCAGGTCATTTGCGGGCATATTACTCACTATGGCTTCGTTTGGGATGGCTTTCTTACTGCTTCTTAAAACAGCTTTTTAATACAAAAATTTTAGGAAGCATAAAAAAGCTGTCACAAATGAAGCCTATATCTATTATTTCCTGAAGGCATCTTTCAACTACTTTTTAACTAACGCAATATTATTTATCCAGGTTATCAACAATGCCTGTGCCACGCAAGCCATCCTTTCAATTTTGCTGAACAGTGCCGATGTTGATATTGGCCCTGAACTGTCAATGCTGAAAGAATTTACAAAGAACTTCCCACCCGAACTCAAAGGCCTTGCTATCAATAACAGTGAAGCCATTCGAACGGCTCACAACAGCTTTGCAAGGCCTGAGCCTTTTGTTCCTGATGAACAGAGAGCTGCGACTAAGGATGATGACATTTACCACTTTATAAGCTATGTTCCTGTGGATGGGGTTCTGTATGAACTAGATGGACTCAAGGAAGGTCCCATTAGTCTCGGCAAATGTCCCGGCGAAAAAGGAGATCTGGAGTGGCTTCGAATCGTGCAGCCGGTGATCCAAGAGCGCATCGAGAGATATTCTCAAAATGAGATTCGGTTTAACCTGATGGCAATTGTAAAGAACAGAAAAGAGATATATACTGCAGAGCTTAAGGAACTTCAGAGGAAGAGGGAAGTTCTTCTCCAGCAGTTAAATGACCATGTTAGTGGCGGCAACAAGCAGGCTGCTGCTGTTGACGCTATAAACAAAACACTCACGGAGGTGACATCTGGGATTGAAAATGTGACCACAAAGATTATAATGGAGGAGGAAAAGTTCAAAAAGTGGAAAACTGAAAATATTAGAAGGAAGCACAATTATATTCCATTCCTGTTTAATTTCTTGAAGATTCTCGCAGAGAAGAAACAATTGAAACCTCTGATTGAGAAGGCCAAGCAGAAAACAGGAAGCCCCAGGTGATTGAGATTCTTCTTGAATGTTTTTCTTTTTTTCCTAAGAATCTTGTTTTCAAGCTGTGGTGCATTTAGAGGTTATGAAAATACATTCATATATTGATAGTATTTAAGGATTTTCAGCGTTCCTCCGCTTGATGTAGATTAAAGAAAATTATTTGTGCTATTCTGAATCAGGTGTGTTTTATTAGAGTATTGGAAACTGGAATGTTTTGTGTTATCTTCTCAATTCTCAAGTCGTTCGAGTATTCATAAGTTGTTCAGATCTGCATCAAACTTTAGCTCAAATTTCTTGCAGATGTGATCTTCTGGCTTTTCTTATTATATAATTTTGTTTTCTTGTTTTTTGGGTGGTGTGATAAATCTGTTTGAATTTACTTTAGAACAAATATATGAGAAGACACACAAGCTATCTTCTAAAATTATATTTAGGGAATTATGAATATATGAATTATTAAGTTTAATCCCAGGCTTCATTATAACATAAAAGCAATGGACTTGAATTTAATTATAATTTAACTATATATATAATAAGTAGATTGTTACCAAAAGGCATTTGCTTCTCATCTTGATATCTTAGGAACCATCCTCAACTGGTTCATTTATGAGCACTTGAAGTTGGTGAGTGGAGGTTAAAAGGGAGAGAACACTCTTCGCTAATAAAGCTCTTTACAAGACTTGCAAACTTGAATGCTTGGAATCCAAAGGAGGGGAAGGGGTACTATTTATAGCCCCACCCATACATAGAACATTCTAGAATACAATACACATAACATATGTGTAGAGTTCTCAAGAAGACTCCACACTATTTCTACTTATAATACTTATATTATAAAATTCTAGAGAGTTATGGAGTTTCATAGAATACTCTCCAAGGCCCTAGAAATGTTTAGATTATTTCAGAGACATGTATAACCCCTTTATAATAACCCAAATTTTTAACTATTGAAATATTATCCTCTTTGGCTTAAATGTTTCACGGTTTTGTCCTGTTGGTGTAACTTCTCAGGAGATCACTCATCACAAGATTTTTCCGGGACGAGCACGCTTAACTGCAGAGTTTTATAATGAAATTCCAACCATTATATCAAAAGACACCTCGATGTTTAAGAGTTTAACTTCTTTTACTTATGTGGTTTCATAATCTCACTCGCTTAAGTAACTGATGTTCTCGTTAGTATTGTTATCCTAAATTCATCCATCAGGCATATAGGATTCTAAAGGTAGCCCCTACAAGTTCAAGTGGTGACTCCTATCACGTAGCATTTGGTCTCATAATGGATTCAAGAGGCGACCCCCATGATATAACACTTTACTTGTATGATACTTAGTTCCCATGTTTCGGCTGATGTATTACTCTGATATCATTTGTAACAACCAAAACACTTAACAATTGAGATATTGTCCGCTTTGACCTAAGGGCCTCACAATTTATTGTTATTGGTGTAATTTTAATAACTAAATGTAAATTAATCTGAGTTTTAAACAAATTATAATTGTTGCATTTTACTAAATACTATTTATTCTTTTTGATCTAGTTCAAATATTTGTTAAAAATATTTTGTGTTAGGCATTTAGCTGTTTAATTGATATTTATATTCTATTTATACCTCATAATATACAGTTTCTATGTGCATATAAGATGTGATTTCATCAACATAAATAAATAAACGAGTAATTTTTAAAAATATTCATTTGTATAATGAGTTTTATTGTTTTTCCTTTGAAGTATATTTTATTACTTAACAAATGAACTCTATGTAAGGACCGAGCTATTTATCAAGCCTGCAGTTTACCTAAAACCGTACATATTGATCTGCTTTAATAATCATTAAAGAAGTTGTACCAAACGAAACTTAAATAAGAACTTTTAAGGAACTTTTTTAACCATTCGATGCAACTCAATTTGTGTTAGTCTTACTTTAATTTGTGTCTACAATAAATGTAGTGGAAATAGTTGGATCTACATTTTTTTCAAGATTTCACTCGAAATTATCTCCATCAAAGCTGTAAATGAGAGGGACATAAATAAATTGATCTTTTATTGCACTTAGTTTTTTTATTATAGTTTAATAGAAATGGGCTTAGACTTGCTAACAAGCTACAAATTTATGTTTGGTGATTCAATTTGGAAGCGTTGCTGGTGAGGAGGAGGTGACCCGGGTCAATTTCAGGTTGGCTCGAATCCGATATGAAATTGTGGAAATATTGACACCCATAATTATACGATTACTTTCAATCGAATTTTTGGGTAATTATGCTCGTACTTTCTCTCCATAGATGATACGAGTACTCCAGCTTCTTCCATGCCATCATTTTACTTAAAAAAATAATTATGATTGGAGAAATAAGTGCCAAAGAAAACAATTACTTTTTATTACAAAAGTTCAAAAGCAATTTACAACTACATATATTATAAGAGCTGAAGTACTTTACAATACGCTGCTAGACCGGATGGGAGAGATCTTTCTCTTTTATCTCTCTGGCTCACATTAGAGGGTACGTACTAACACCTGATTTAATGATAGTTACTGCTCAACTTCCAAATAAAAATACTTCACAATTATTCATGTATATATATATATATTTATTTATCATGCAATATGCCAATTAGCTCTTGGTTGCTTGGCAGGTAAGTAGGGTTACCTCATGTTGACACAATTATGCCTTGAAATTTCATTTATTAAATAAATAAAAATCACATTTTTTTAATGGTATATGGCCTCAGGAGGAAAAATAATTCAGTTAAAAAATCAGTTAAGAAAAAATATTAAACGAAAAAAATAATAATTTGACTTACAAACTTCTCCCACACAACTACGGCAGGGCAAAAAAAAAAAAAAAAAAAAAAAAAAAAAAAAAAAAAAATTATAGCTAGCCTGTTACGTATGTAAACATGCTTGCTAATTAACAAATTGAGGAGAAATCCAGACAAACTGACGTCGGTCATATAATATATATATACTGCTTCCTACAAAAACCAAAATTAAAAAATATATACACCATATGTAGTACAGAGTCAAAAGAGTTTTCGATTCCTACTAACTTCTTCTTTTACCTGAATGTGAAATTTTGATACATCTGATGCTTTTGCTGCAATGTTCTAGCTGTAGGGTCAGAACCAATCTAAGTTCTCATGAAAATTTATTCTATGGGGAGACCGAACGGTAAGAACCATTCAAATTTATTGCATTTTATCTTGTCTTTTTGCTGCACTTTTGCAAATATTCAGCAAAAACGGAAAAAATTAAATATGAAATGATGAATGTACTGTTGTTGAGTATTTGCAAAAGCGCAGCAAAAAATCAGTAAAAATTCAAGTAAGATATTTGCTGCGCTTTTGCTGTCACTTTGTTGCATTTTAACAAATACCTAGCAAAATGACAGGAATATGCAATTATGAATGCGTATTTGCTGTCATTTTGCTGAGTATTTGCAAAAGCGTAGCAAATTCGAACAAATCTTGACGTCTAGTCTCCTCACACAATAATTTCTCAATTCTTAGGGGGGCAAGTGACAAACTTATTATATATATAGCGGGAGGCTAAGAGACTTTGATTTTTGAAGGGGCAAAATGCATGAAATAAATGCCGTCTGGTGTAAAAAATAAATTTCAGAGAGGACATATTACAAATAATTTTTATTATACTAAAATTTTAATTTTTTTAAGGGTCATCCTACTCAGCACTACACAGTTTCGCCCTTGGTTCTAGCCTTCTACATCATTTGTGTAATTACCTGAGTTATATGGCATCGATTTTGACTTGGTATGACTGGATTTGCAATCTTAAAGAACTATTATGCCGTGTCCAATACGTTAAAGTCAAATAATTATTTTCATTCAGATGAAAGATTTTAATAAGCCACAATCAATATCCTGGAGCCAGCAGTGCGAGTTACTGCTGTGTGTTAGGTTGCTTGAAATGTTCAAGGCTGCCGTAAATTTTAAAAAGAAAATAATTCTGCATATTATATATAAACCGCTACTTAAGCTTTGATCAGGGCAGCTGATCATAATCTCTGTGTATGGTAGGAATTTAGTATTATAATTTTGATTTGTGCTACTCTATATATATTATTTTATATTAATTAACATTAACTTTGTATAATTAACATAGAACTTTATTAAACCCAGCTAAAAAAATGTAACGAATCATTCCACAGAATCAGAGTGATTTAGGGGATCCCTAACATAAATGTTGATGCATTCTCAGTAATCTTTATAAAAATCAATATTGTACCCACCGATGTTTAGCTTGGTTGGTGGGCGAGTACGGTTGGAAATCTCCCAACCGGTGCTTGATTCCCCTCGAGCGGCAACACCTCTTAAGTGGGGCCAAATCAAGTGCGGACCATGAAGTTTCTGGAGTGGATGCCTCTTTTAGGTCAACCGAGAATTAGTCACGCCACCATGAACCCTTTCGGAGGTGACAACATATGGATACCCCATTCCAAAAAAATAAAAAACTATTGTAGCCAATTTGAGAGTTAAAACCCTTCTGGTAGCCATTGAATTAATTAATACTTAAGAAATTACTTTACATAAATATTTTTTATTGTTTTTCTACCTCTGTTTCTTCATGTTTCTAAAATTTTCAAAATCAATATTAATTTCAAATTGACGCACCTCTTACTAATCAAAAAGGTAATCCAAGAAATTTAATACTAATACTTTCTCCTTTCAGACATTCTCCAATCGAATTACATACCACCATATGTAGTCCACTATTTGATGCATTCTAACTCCAAATATGTCCCACAATTCAGTAGGCGAACAGTGTGATGTCAATATTAGCGTGAGACTATTCACCTACATAAAAAAATTGAGTTGCCAAATTTGTCAAAGACGAGGGCGAAAGAGGAGAAAAGCACACAAAAGAGGAGGAAGTGCTTGAAAGAAAAAATTTGAAGTTTTCTCAATGCTGCAGTCATACCCTGCACCACCTTCCTATAAACAACAAGGACAGTTTGTTGTTGGTGCTAAAGCCTAAGCACCCATTCTACATGTAGACCACGAACGCCTATCTCTAAATTCATTAAATCTTACACTCCAATAAATAGATAAGATAAAAAATTCCGATTTATCATCCCTTGACTCCATGGTAATCATTCCCACGCCGCATAATGGTAGTATATGAGGAAGGCACAAGCAGGGATGGCCCCAACCATCTTCTGTTCGTTGACTTGTAATATAAAGATCGTAACCTCCTTTCTACACAGCTTCCATGACAATCTCACTCCCCATCGACGCAATCATGGACGACGTCCTCTTCTGCTCTTCCGACATGCCCGTCTTCGACCTCCTCAGCCACTTCCAATCCCTCCATTTCGACCTCTCCATCCTCCGCGACAAAATCCATCAAGTCCAATGCCTCATCACCCCCCTCGTATCCGGCGATCAAGCCGACGTTAACGCCGTTATCGCTCCCCGCGCCAACGTTCTCATTCACGACATGATCGTCACTGCCTCCTCCATCCTCCTAAGTCTCCAGCAGCTGGCGTGCTGCTCCCCGGCGCCGCCCGCTCCGCAACCTCACGAAAAGCATCACACCGCCCGCGCTGCGGCTGCGAAGCAGCAGCCGAGCCACGACGTGGTCGAGATGGACGCCGGCGCGCTGTTAGCCAAGTACACGCACTACTGCCATGTATGCGGCAAGGGGTTCCGGCGCGACGCAAATTTAAGAATGCATATGAGAGCGCACGGCGATGCGTATAAGACGAGGGAAGCGCTCGCGAAAGGAGGCGGAGGGATTTTGCATCAAGGTGAGGAGAGCGGGAGTACTAACAGGAATAAGTACTCGTGTCCACAAGAAGGGTGCAGGTGGAACTGGAAGCACGCGAAGTTCCAGCCGCTCAAGTCGGTGGCTTGCGCGAAGAATCATTATAAGAGGAGTCACTGTCCGAAGCTGTACGTGTGCAGTCGGTGCGGGAATAAGGAGTTCTCGGTTCTTTCGGACCTGCGGACGCACGAGAAGCATTGCGGAAATCCGAGGTGGCGTTGCTCCTGCGGCACGACTTTCTCGCGCAAAGACAAGCTTTTGGGCCATGTTGCGTTGTTTGTCGGCCATGTGCCGGCGCCGGAGGGAGTAGCGTTTGACGTGGGGGATCAGGAGGGCTTGGAGTGGATTGCTGGGACTTGATGATCTTTATTTTGCGAATTGAAGAGGTAAGGAGATGGAGCCGAGAATGTGATTTGTACCATTTTTATCGCAAGTATTAAATTGGGTTTTGGTTTGGTTAATTAATTAGTTATTATGTAGGGAAGGAGATGTCTGAGAAACATGAAATGGTTATTCAAACACTGATCAAATCTATGTAAATTTACTACTAGATCTTATTTATAGACTTTTCTTGTTTAATTACACGTACATGCAATATTTAATGTGGTAGTTGTTGATTAATCTATGAACATTTTGTTGAAAATGAGATTACATGCAATATTTAATGTGGTATTTTGAACTATGGGAAAATTCTATAAGATGGTGGTGAGACCTGTAATGCTTTATGATGTTGGCCATCACAAGAGAAGCATAATACTAAGTTAAGTGTTGCAAGATGAGGATGCTCACGTGGATGAGTGGCTTTACCCTTAGAGATATGATATGATATGAGCGTATATCTGAAAAGGTTGGAGTTGCTCCAGTGGAAGATAAGATTAGAGGGATTTGCCTTAGATGATTTAATTAATCACATAACACGGTGGCCTTACGATGACCCGGTTAGGAAAGTAGAAGTATTAGATTTGATTTATGTTACAAAAGGTAGAGTTAGGCCTAAAAAGACGTGGTTAGAAAATATTAGAAATTAAATTATATTTCCTTATTAGATTTAAACGAGAATGGTGGCCTTACGATGACCCGGTTAGGAAAGTAAATGTATTAGATTTGACTTATGTTATAAAAGGTAGAGTTAGGTCAAAAACGACTTGGTTAGAAAATATTAAAAATGTTATTTCTTTATTAGATTTAAACGAGAATTTGACCTTTAACATAACATAGTGGAGATTCATGTAGCCAACCTCATGTAGTGGGACAAAGGCTTACTGTTGTTGTTGTTATTGTCGTCTTCATGTCAAGCGGCACGTCGAGCTCTGTTGTCAAGAATCGAGATCCATTACTCGTCGTCGCGTCTGTTGTCCCGAGGTCTGTCGTCGTCTTCGTGTCTGCCTCCGAGATCGTAGTACCGAGCGGTCTGAGCGTAATTGTTGTCGTCTCGAGGTTCGTATGTCGTCGTCCCGAGGTTGGTCCGTCGTCGTCATCACTGTTGAGAACCTTTGCTTGTCGTCGCGTCTACCGTCGAGATCCATCATCCCGAGCTCACCCCGTCGCATCTACCGTCAAGGTTGTCGTCTCGAGCGTAAATTTCCCGCATGCGAGTGCTTCGTTGTTTAGTAATTTGGATTTCCCGCTCGCAACTTGGATTTCCCACTCACAACTTAAATTTCCAGCTCGCAAGCTCTGTCAATTTGGATTTTCCGTTTGCGAGCTTCGCCGTCGTGCTACTCGATGAGCTGATGAGTCGAGCAGCAGCCTGTTCGAGCTCAAGAAAAAAAAAAAAATTGTCCCAAATAAACCTTATTGTATAAGGGTATTAGTGTCCAAAATCTCAATAACGAAAAGAAAAGACAAAAAATCGCAAAAAAAAAAGTTAAATTAAATAAAAATTAAAGAAGTCGTGCGCTAATTTAATAATGTTTAATTGTTTATATTGTTCTCCCTTTGAGAGTAACATAAGTTGTAAGTAATTTTAAATAACCGTACATGACAACTATTATGAAACTGCATAGTAATTTTAAATAGATATGTCTGATCAATAATAGATGTAACCAAATCCCAAAAACTCTTTGATTTAATTAATCGTTTGCAAAACAGCCTAAATATTTTGCCATTAAACAAAAAATTAGGTGTCTGTGGATATTAATTTGCCTGGAACCAAAAAATAAAAATCAAATAAGATCCACGCGATTAAGGATCTGAATAAGATTTTATTTGGAATGATTTTTGAAAATAAAATTTTAGTATAAAAATTAAAATTATTTAAAAAATAATAAAAAAATTGTCTCAAATTAAATCTAAATGTTGTTTTATTTCTATACAGTTTTTTTGACTTTTTTATATGGAATAAAACTACCCGCTACTGTCTTGTCGTTGTCAAAGAAGAAAATCAGCAAAAGAAAAATCTATATGGTTTAAAGCATTAAGATTTAAGACAGGTTCATAATGATAAATGTCTTCTCATTGCCCAGAAAATAATAGATGACAACAAGATGATAAAATACCAATTTTTATGTAAAGAAAGTTCAAAAGATTTGCCAGGAAATATTTTCTGAAATTTAATTTTGACCGAAATTCAAAAGAAAAATTTTCTCAATTATCAGACGTAATAATTAAAATTTTGATACGATTTGTTAGAAATAAGCAAAGATGAAAATTACATTCAACAACTCAAGATTTACATCAAATCATCGAGAGAAAATTTATTCCAAGCATGCCCATAACGATTGGAGGGTTTTGACCTTTTTATTCTATCTAATCTTTGCATACTTGCACGGGCAGCATGCACACAGCACATTAGCACATGTCAACTGCAGGGTTCTCCAGAAAAGCTGCCCCATTCCACAAATGGTGAACAAAATGTCGTGCCCTCTGTAGAAGAAGAATGGTGTGAAGGGGAGCAGAGTGTCTGTTGAGAAGCATTCTTACACAACGAAACAAATAAGAAAAATTTAGGAAAAACCTATGGAGCCATAGCAAATCAAGAAATTCATTATAAATATTAGGAGAAATTATGGAGATCTCTCTTTTCACACTCTATTTGTCTCTCTTCACTTCCAACACAATTATCTACTTAAACAAACAAGAGACGAACTTAAAAATATCCAAATGACTTGACCCTTAAAGTGAAGTAAGAAGAAGAGGAAAGAAAAGCTACTCAGCCCAACTCGCATCATCGTGGCGCCAGGCTAAAGTTCAACAGATGTCGGCGGCCGGGTTGAAGTCCAGCTGCGGTCGGCGGTAGGGTGGAAGTCTGGCGGCGGTCGGCAACTGGGCGGTGGTCCGACGAAGGTTGGGTTGAAGTCCGTCGACGGTCGGCGGCCTAGTGAAAGTCCGGCGGTGTTCAGCGTCTGGGTGGAGGTTAGACGACGGTAGGGCATAAGTCCGACGGCAACCGACGGCCGGGCATTGGTCTGACGACGGTCGAGCTGAAGTTCGGAGAAGGTCGGCGGCCGGGTGGTAGTCCGGCTGCAGTCCGAATGAAGTCCGATGGCAATCGGCGGTTGGGGGGTGGTTCGACGAAGGTTAGAGGGACTGTAATCAATGGGTGACGGAGGTCGAAGGGACGGTTGTCGACAGGAGACGGTGGTTAGAGGTATCGTAGTCAACATGCAATAATGATAAAATGGATCATAGTCAGCGGGCAACGAAGGTCGGAGAGATTGTACTCGGTGGACAATGGTGATTGGAGGGACTGTCGTCATAGGGGTGACAGTGGTCAGAGAGATCGTAATGGGCTGGAGATTGTAGTCGAAGGGACTGTAGTTGGTAGACGACAACGTTCAAAGGGATAATAGCTGGTGGCTGACGAAGGTTAGATGGATTGTAATTGGCGGGCAAAGATGGGCAGAGGGATCGTAATCAGTGGGTGACGTTGGCTAGTGACTGCCGACTACGGTCCCTACGATCGTCATCACCCGCAGACTACTGTCCCTCCGACTATCATCACTCGACCTTCGTCGTATGATTACTGTTCTATCAACTAAATTAACAGCCCAACATTCTCGTGAGAATAGCTCTCAACCCTAACTATGCAATATATTATAAATGATGTATATTGAGCCAAAGCCTTTCACTGATGAAATGCCATCTTTGTAATCAACAACAAGCACTAGTTGATTCATTTCAACTGGGTCAAGCCTCGGTTTACTCACTTTAATGGTTTTCTATGTAAAAATTATATTGTCTCTTATGACTCTTACATCCATCTTTCTTTATATGTATGTGTAGTTCAAAATTAAGACATTAAGGTTTTTATCTCCCTACTTCTAATGTTCCCGGACATAAGAACATCTAATTTTAATAAAAAGTTACCACATCTATTTTTAACAAAAAGTTATCACGACATATTATAATTTCAAAAAAAATTACAAAGCAAGGCACCGCTTTGAAGGCCATCTCGGCATCATGATTCAAATAAATTCTCCTAAATTATAATCAGACCCTCTTCAAAACTCAAAAGGGTTGGAAAAAGATATCTAGCCGAGTTTCCCAATTCATAAAAAAATATTTAAATGTCAACCGCAATGTCAAACCGTCCAGAACTTAGAAAACAATAATGCGGAACTCGGTCAGTATCGGCTGAACTTCTTTAATGCAAAAAAAAAAAAAAAAGAAAAAAAAAGAAAGAAAAAAAAAGGCATGTTTGCTACAAAAATGATTACAGTTAAGGAAGCTCCTAATAAAAATTTCCTTCATTTTTAGCAGCCTAAAGCTTTTAAATGTGGATCCCAATAGTTTTTGTGGGCCCTACTAACTGCACTGAGTCTTTTGTGGATTTCAGTAGTCATTAGAAGGATAAATTATTCTATACGGAGTCTGAACCAGAAGAATTATCTACAGGAAGAATCATCTGGATTATGAGTATACACATTGTATACATATAATTTATATAAATTTTTATTTAAAATATATACACTTATATGTCCGGAAGGTTCTTCCGTACGGACTCTGCACATAATAATTTTCTTATTAAAAGAGCCTAAAAACATCCCGATCAAGAGATTGTTCATGATTATATTTCTTTAATTTTTGATTGCAAAGACTTCAGAGCAACTGCTTTGTCTCTTTGATCACATAGTTCAATATTCACATAATGTACTTTAAACGAACTCTCTCTAGATAGATGCCGCTTCAGAGTTCAGAGTTAGAAATATTTTTCTAAAAATTTTATCATCATTGAAAGTTCAAAGAATATTTGTAAATTTTGAGTATATATATTGTTAAGAAAATGAATGAACTTTTATGAAATGTGAAACTGGAAACTTAGTAACTTTGGGAATAATATCTATAGTTTAATTACAAGCGTGTATACAAGTAATTTGAAAATGTGCTTTTGAGACTTAAAATCAAGGTTTCTTTTGAAATAACTATTAACCGCTATTTTATGTATTAGAAAACTGTTTTAAAAATTCATCTCAAATGAAGCCTATGTACAAAATAAATCAGGATTATAAAAAATCAATATGATTGATAAAATAATATTTGAAATAATTTCTTAGATATCTTACATATTTTTATAAAGTAGCATACATACATACAAACTTCTATTATGTCACCTTTGGTGATTTACACTTTTACTGGACGGTCCTGGTGCTTTCGTGGACGCTGGCAGTCTCAGCATTCTACTGAGCCCTCTTTGGGGGTTTTTATTGAGTTTGTTTCTTTTTTTTGATTTTCTGTGCTGTTTGATTTCCCTTCTCAAACTGTTGTAACCTCGTATTATCAGTTTTAATATATAAGTTTTTTTTTTTAAAAAAAAGAAAAAAAAAGTCCAAATGGGGACTTCCCATCCGAACTCCACACAGAATAATTTCTCCACAAAATGTAAAATTAAAAAAAGGATCAGCTCCAACAAAAACAGCAATGCTCAAAATTATAAACAAAAGTAGACAAGCAAAAGCTTAAGAAGAGGAATGTTCAAGAGACAAAATGTCCGAGGGATCCCCACCATAAAGGCTCTTAGAGTAGAAGTCAGGATCTTTTGATGAGATGGAAAGAAGATAAGCCAAATGGATTTACGTGCTTAATCTTCTTGCTTTTGTTGTAATCTTGCAATATGTCAATGATTTTTAGGTAGAAGACCACATCTTAAACGTCGTGCAATGCCCTTTTTGGGATGCTAATCAACACTTTAATAAATTAACTTAATTTAAATTTTATTTTCAATTTAATAAAAGTATTCTTTATTATAATTCATACATAACACCGGATGTGTTAAAATGAGTACTCTTGCATGTCAGAAAATTGAAAGGAAAAAAATTATGAGGCTTGACTCAAATGAAGTGATCCATTTTATAAATCGATTACAAGAGTTTGTTCTATCTTTTAATTATAAAAGATGAGATTACAAAGTACGTAATATAAGTTTGTAGTTAGGTAAATATGAGATAACGTTGAAGATGCAATGGTTTGATGGTGTCAGTTGGATATCGTTTAATGAATAGAAGTGACAAATTGATGATAGTCAAATAATTGTGGTCAGATGATGACTGTCGAATAATAATAGTTAGATGACTGTGGTTAGTCAATGACAATTGAGTGACGATGGATAAACAATGACAATTAGACGACAATGGTTAAATAATAAAAAGTTAGTTGATGATGGTAAGATAATGATAGTTTGCCGACGATACCAGATAATGACAATCAGGCGATGGCAATAACAATGGATATCGGTGATCATCGGTGTCAAACGTCAAGTGTAGCTCTAGGGTTTTTTAATCTCCAAGCTCTTTCCCTCTTCCAGCCCATATTCGCTTTATGTTGAGAATAATAATCTATTTAAGGTAGTTTTAAAGTGGGTATTTTAGGCGGTTCATATTAAATCATTTGATCATAAACTATTTACTCAATATTTAAGTACTTTGATGACCTTAGAATTAAGTGATATTGGACTTTTTAGATTTATTTTGTGGAGTAGCTCATTTTTATTATAAGCATGCAAGATTCGAAGACCATGTCATACTTCAATTAATGTTTCAAAGTGTATAACCATCGAACAGTTTATGTAAAATCTTTTGATCATAAACTATTTATTCAACATTTAAGTACTTTAATGACATCAGAATCAAGTGATATCACACTTGCTGGATTCGTTTTGTCGAGCAATGCATTTTCACTATAATCATAGAGATTCGAAACCATTTGATACTTCAATTAATGTTTCAAAGTTTCAAGCTATCCCTCAAGTGCTTCATTAAAATTTTAAAGTATTTTAAAATATTTAAAAATGCATATCATATATGATATATTAGGCTATAAATACTACATATAAGAATGAAAAAGTTGATAAAAAAAGGTGATTTAAAATTAATTCTCAAATAAATAGATTAGGTACTGATATGCTGAAGTAATCACTCTCCTCTAAGAAACTTATCCTTCGATACTATTGTTCGGCATTTCTTCAGCTCTCTCGATCGAAAGTTCTCGTACCAGAAGCATCACCTTTAAGGCCAATTTGAAAATGACCAGCAATGGTATCGGGTCCTTGGCATGAAGAAACCCTGTTTTTTTCCTTCTGGGGTGGGCTCTGTGCGGCGGGCGGACCGACTGGGCCATGACGAGGACCTCGCCCGCTCAGGGATTCCAGCAGGTATGCCATGAGATTTGATTTATCTTCTTTTATTCTCAATTTTTAGGTCTTTTCGTGCTTGTTTCTGTGAGGCAAGGCTGACGGTCTAGTTTTAATGAGTGATCCTACGAAGGTTAGCAATGCTTGCCTTCTGTTAAACATATAAAAAAAGCATAATTTATGCTGGAATTACTAGTTGAAGTCATCGAATGGAAAAATCTTGACAACATCAGTTCCATTTGGGCTGAATTACAAGTGCGCTAATGTAGTGATTAATATTATAAAAACAGTACAGATAATTTAAGTTTTTCCACATCTTGAGCAACATTCTGATTAAAAAGCCATGCAAAATTTTAAAAAAATTCAACTAGTTCAACTAAAACTGTAAATTTGCCACAGAATTTTCATTGAATTGCTGCAATGTCAAACACAACAAGAACTTTTCACTTTACAATGGAGCCAAGCATGGGTTTTGGTTCAATAAGAAGCATCACCTAAATAGGGCAATCCGCGATTTGGTTTTCTGAAGTTGCTTTCACTTCCAAAGAATGATCGATTGTTTTTAAAAACTGTCTTCTGAATAACTAAGACCGAACATTCACTTGTTTTTTAGGCTTTCCTTTCTTACTACATCTTAAATCAGCTTTTTAGTATAAATATTTTAATTTTTGAAAGCCATCCCAAACGATAAGATTGAATTTCAAAAAGCAGGGAATCAAACAGAACGTTAATATTTTTCAATTGTGTCGCTCTTGTTGATCTTACTGATCTTGCTTCTTTGCATGGACAGCTTCAGGATTTTACAGAAAAGCGGATCCAGACCATGAAATGCTGCACAGTAAAGTGGGATGCTGGTCCAGAGCAGAGTCTTAGGTTTAGTTTGGGATGGCTTTATTACTGCTTCTTAAAGTAATTTTTTAGAATAAAAATTAAATTTTTTTACTAAAAAGCTGTTTTAAGAAGCAGTAAGGAAGCCGTCCCAAACGGAGGGTTTTTTGTTGCTTCTTAAAGCAGCTTTCGAGTACAAAAATTTTAACTTTTACTAGAAAGTTATTTTATGAAGCAGTAAAAAAGGAGTCCCAAACAAAGCCTTAATCTGATTTTGTTGGATGGGGTGGCAATGGAAAAAATGCGTTCCTGGATGTGCCCTTCGACGGTTATCTCCTACCGGGCGGCTTCTTCCAGGTAATTAGTTGCTTCTTTTTCGCATATAGCTAAGTTATAGCAGGATCCTAGTTATGATTGAGACTGTCATACGCAATTTCATTGACTTGTCTCTATGTTTTCCTTTAAACTAACTTATCATGCTTTTGAGTTATAATGGTGGCTTGTACCTTGTTTTCTTATTACTTTTTAAAACAAATTTTTAGTATACAAAAAGTTCTTAACTGTTTTAGAAAGCAATAAAAAAATTGTCCAAAACAAAACCTACATTGTTGACATAGAATGAGAGAGACCTAATTCCATTTCAATTAGATTGCTTGCCTTCGTACTGAGAGCCAGTCATGTTATAGAGAGATTATTCACTGCGCTTTTACTGCTTACAAAGACAAACTGGACGGTTCTCCCTATTCGGTGCTCGCATAGAATAATTCATGCATGTTATAAGAAATAGGCAATTTGTTACAAGTTGAACAATGACATCAATCAAATCCGGGTGAATAAGAAATCTACATTTGTACTCCTAAATCTAAATATTTAAACTACACTATTTAATTACGAAGATTCTACAATAGCGATTACACAACATTTACAACAATAATAGATGAATCCTGACGTAATTATGATTAATTTCGAGATGGAATACAGCCAATAATAACTGTAATATGTACACAATGTGCTCTGTGTGCCCTATCAATCTCGAGAAATAAGTTGAGCTTTGTGCAAGAATGCGTTCTAGTTCGAAGCAGTTTTAGACAGGTTTCTCTAAAAAATTTATCAGTATTCAGAAGTTTATAGAATGATCTACATTTGCTAAAAAGCTGTATACATTTGACATGAAACATTTACATGAAACTAAGCAGATTCATACTGATATTTCTAAAAGACGTATTTATGAATCATTCAAATAAAAAATAAAAAAAAGGGTCAGCAGATCTGCTTTCTAACATCGACAATAACTGGGAAATAGACCAGTAGATGGATACAAAAAGCCATATTTGGCTGATATAAGCTTAAAAATTTATGTTTAATTTGCTACAAGGTTTTGAAAAATCTTGGATCAAAATACACATTTGGGCCTCGTGAAAAGAACCATACATTGTTCCGAACAAAATATACATAAAATGGCAGAGAATTTACATGTTACCGATTTTCAGGGAAAACTGTTTGGATGAACTTCAAAAAGCGCTTGGAATAAAATTGAGGATCTACTGCAGAGATGGCAAGATGATCAAACTGAAGGGATTTATAGGCATGCTCAATCTTCTTGCTTATGTTGTAATCTTGTAGTATGTCAATAATTCCTAGGTAGAGGACCACATCATAAACCTCATGGAACATCTGCTTTTCATCATCTATCTTGGGAATATGCTCTGCTCTTGCTGGCATGTTGACTCCCAATTGAATCTGTAGCCTGAGCAACAAAAAAAAAACATGATTTTATAACTTATGTATTAGGTTTCAAAAACAAATCTCGGGCCATAATTTTGACTTTCAAGTCGAAACAATTCTTTTCAAATTGAGTTTAGCCGATATTATCCCAAAATGACTTTTTTTTTTAATTTAAATCCGTTTTGGATAGTTTCGATGGTATTTTGGATGAATTGGTAGTAACTCCATTTGAAATGGAGGGCTAAAATCATTAATATTGGCAAAACTGCTAGAACTTGAGAAATTATTCTGTGTGGAGTCAGGGACAGAAAATTCCTATTTATGTAAACACTGTGTACACTTACAGTCCAGACGAAAACTTCCTGTTCGGAGTCCGCACAGAATAATTTCCCCATAGCTTGATCAAAATTTGCCAATAAATATTGTGTTTATGATTAAAAATTTATATTAAAACAAGTTTTTTTTAATGCTTTAAGGATTTTCTTAAATAAAAAAATTAACCAAAAATAAACATAAAAAAACCATAAACCACTGAAACTGGCACTTCCTTTCAGGGACAAAATCAACATCAAGACCAAAACCGAACTTATAGACCTTATCTCAAACTTTTTGTTTTGTAAAGGTAAAATGCATTGGACGGAGAGCTATTTTCTAGTGTTACCTCGCTGTGCCTGGAAGTAGAAGATCCACTTCTTCATCGCCAGCTGCAGATGCACGCAAGCGCCTGCCTCTTATATGAGGTCCCACAACAACGCTGTTGCCATCACCCCCACGAGGAACCAAAACAAGGCCTTCTGGATAGTTAGAAATGTCATCCTCTTGAGCTGCAAATGAATCATATTACCTGAACATTAGTGTGAAAATCTTTCGGATTTTGACCATGTTATAGAGAACTGCAGCGGAATGATAAATTTGTAAAACACTATTTAAAGTAGGCTCAATACATTCAATTAACAGAAGATTAAGAAAGCACGGAACAAAAAAAAAAATAAATAAATAAATAAAAAAATAAATCTTTTAAATAAAAATTCCAAAACCTTTCCGAGTATATATAGGGAACAAGTTTCTCCATAGAACAAGGCTCAATTAAATTGAAGTTTACATTAATAGCACTCTAATTGAATTTTACACTAATAACTAGAGTGCATCTACGAAGAGTTTAAAACTGGCACTGCATTCAACTCCAAGAACATCAAAATCATCCTAGAAAATCCCATTTAGTGCTCACATGTTATTGTCTTTTCTGTATTGTAGGATAATTTCAAACTTTAAATATTTTATTTTCATTAAAATTAGACCGGGATTGAATTTAATTCTAAAAAGAAATTATGAACTAAATATGATGAATGTTCATTTAGCTGTAAAATTGACCACTATCTCCCTATTATCTATAAAAGCTGCAATGGACAAATTCCTCACCCTGTATAATTGACAAATAAACTAAATCTGCAAGGAAAGAAACTTAGACACTATGGAGTTGGAGTATTTTGAGAAAACTACGGTGAAGTTCACGTTGTTACCTTCTTCTGAAAGAATAGCTAATCTATTTGATGCAACATTTCTTCGTTGAGATACTTCAGACCTTAAATGCGTTGGAGCCCTATAATGGACGCCTAATAGAAGGCTATAATCCATAATACGCTGTGCTTCCAAAAATTTGCTATCTATCTCAATTTGCCTGCAGAAATAAAGAAAATAAAAATGGAGTGAATGTGATTAAAATCACAAAGAAATAGAAATTTGATACTCAAATAGGAATCCAAATTCTGCAAATTATCTCATAGTTTCACGTACTTCTTTGCAGAAATTAGTTAAATAAAACTGAATTATGTTTAACCGACATACAAGCTTGCAGAATAATCCATAATTACATTTCGTTTTTATGCTAGCCAATCTCAAAGGGAAGTTTCTATATTGAAAAAACATGGAGAAGGGTACACAGATTTTTATCTGGTCACCAAATTATTGATCCTTTAGGATACAGTAAACTTGTATTGTTATTTGTATCTTTATGAACTTAATAAGGTTGTTGTCGCACATAAGGTAAAAAATATCTAACCAATCCAATGGAACAGCATAATAATAATATTGCTGCGAAATGTCCTACATGTGGAGTTGCAGATAATATTGAAACATGAGTGCTTCATTGAATCATCTTCATTGAATCATTGCTGCTTTGTTAGAAAAGCTGTAGGCCAATTGGCATTGTTCAGAAGTCTTTTACATGACACCAATATAAAAGAATCATACAACCAAGAAGAAAAAAAAAGACGCGCTTGGGTGAAATTGTTGATGGAGATGAAAGGGAACGTAAAATTAACTGAGAATCAAATCCAAATTAAGAACTCCAACTTGCATGGTGCAGTAATTTTGTTGTCATTATAATAAGGAAAATTGATGGAAAAAAAAAAACTGGCTGTTGAATCCAAAGAAACCGTCTCAAAGCCACTTTCGAAGATAACAACAAAAATTATATATATATGAAGATCATTTTATTACTTTCAATATTTTTATATTAATTTTTTTAGAATTTAAATCACCTATATAATTGATTCTCTGAAAAAAAAAAATCTTCATTTCAATCATGATTATTTTTTCTTTCTGTTTGTGCCTTAGCATCCTCTCCTATATTATCATTTTATCAATCATAAGGAAGATTTCATTTATTCTTAAATACCGATACTAAGATGTTTCTTCTTGAATCATTTGCCTTCATTTCAAATTTTGAATTTTATTAAAAAAATTATTAATCATATTACTCCGAAATTTATCATGACCTTCCAAAATCAAGATAGGCTTCTTATATTAGAGATTTTTCCATTTATACATCTTCATTGTTACTTAACTTCACTTTCTATGGATGCATCTACAACATACTACCTAATTCTGCTCATCTTTTTTCTAAAACAAATACTGTTTAGAACTCTCAATTAAAAATTCTATTTTTTTAATCTAAGAAGTAAGATCTTTATATCCTAATTTTTGTTTCACACATATCCATCAGCATCCCTATTTCCTTTCTTTATACATTTCTTTTTTACCTCATTTGTTTCAGATGTTCTATTATTTGCCTAATTTTTATATCAATGCATTAATCCCTTCCATCTTGGCTTTTGGATTTTGGTACACCCGCACCTAATCATATAACTGATACTACATATCTTCTTCACAATATTTAGATCATATCATAGATTATCATCTATTCAGATTGCTAATGATAGTCGATTATCAATTAAAATTATTAGGAATATTAATTCTTTCATGAAAGTTGTTCACATATCTCTTAAGCTTTATATTAATCTTATCTCAATAGAAAACTTGATTGATAATAATATAGATATTCAATTTTCTTTTGATGGTTGCATTGTGTGGGATTGGGTGATAGGGAAAATACTCATCGAGAGACTTAAAGTTGGATGTGTATTTCTCTTGCATCCTTCTATCTTTGAGGTTGTCGCATTGCCATGTACTTCAATAATTCAAAATAACAACCAATGGTACAAATAATTAGATCATTTGAATTCTACTGTTTTATCTCATTTGATGAACTCTAATTTTTTAGATAACAAAATTATTTCTTTTCTCATCTTTCATTTGATTGATCAACATATGAAATCTACAAAATAAAAGTTTTCTTCCCATCACATGCCAGTTATGTTGATAACTATTTTGATTTGACTTATAGGGATGAATTGAGTATTATTTCTATTATATCGCATACATATTATAAATACTTTATGATATTCATTAATGATTACAATAAATGTACTTGGATACTTTTTTTTCATAAAAAAATTGAAGCATTATCTATCTTTCAAAATTTTGCAGCCTGTGTTAAAGCTCAATTCTCATCAAGCATCAAAGTGTTAAGATCCAACTTTAGGGTATGTCACTTCAATTTCATGAATTTTCTCATAAAGAGGAATTATTTCTCAGCAATCATGTTCCTGTATACCTCAAAAAAAAAAAAAAGAAGAAAAAAAAAAGATATTATTGTTACACCTAAATTATTGGTTGAAGCTTTGAACATGGTATTTTATTTAATTAATAGATTACCTTATTGTGTATTGAATTTTGACTCTCCTTATTATCATCTATTCCAGAAGTATCCCAACCATCATAATATGCATACATTTGGTTGTGTTTGTTTTATTCATCTACCAACCCATAAAATCTCTGTTCAATCTATCTAATGTACATATTTGAGCTATAGTACTTCTTATAAAGGTTATAATTACTATGATTCATGCTCCAAAATCTTTGCATCACTCATCATTTTGTCTTCTTGAAATATCAATTTTTCTTCACTACTCATGTTGAGCATCTATCAAAAATATATATTCTTCTTAATTTTGATGAATTAAATTGTAGTCCAAAATAATTCAGCAAGAATAACAAGCAAGAATATGGGGTTAACCATAAAGAAATTATGCTCTTATGGCTAAAAATTCCTATCTTATGAGTCATCTCGATTACTAATTTACAAGAATGACCACTGCATCAAATTGACTTCAAAATACCTTTCTTCATGATGATCTCAAGGAGCAGATCTACATGGTTCTTCCACCTGACATTTCTGCCTCTTCTTCTTTGATTGTATGCAAGCCAAAACGCTCTCTATTTGGTCTCATAAATGAGTAAAAACAGCCTCGCTGGTCTATATCATTTATTGAGTCTGAATATCACACAATGTTTGTCACATATTCAAAGACTATATGATTTCATGAACTATCTAAATTCAAATTTTCTCAAATTAATCCCACTCCTCAACATACAAACAATAACATTATCATTCAAATTGTTGTATATCCTATTTATTATGAACACACAAAACATATGGAAGTTGAGTTTACTCAATTAAGGAAGCCATCAACAATCATATAATTTCTCTTCCTCGTCTTTTTACAACTCTTCATAATGCGGATATATATATATATATACTTACTGAAATTCATTTTGTAATGATAGTAAGGCGATTTCTGGATAAATTGACTACTCACCATAAAGTAATACTTATAGATGTATATTTTAGGAGTGTAAAAAAATCATCCTTAAAAAATAGTGAAACAAGAAAGTGAAGTTATTAAATCTTTTAAGACAGGTTATGAAAAAAGATAAATTGAAATCTTTTTAGTTAAACCAAACTTGATGTAAGCTAATATTGATATTTCCATTGAAAAGATTGGAATAAAACTGTCAGGATTTTTTAGAAATAAATCAAACAATTCAAGCATATATAGTTATTTGATTTATTGGCTAGAGTCTTGACAATGATCCAAAAAGGGAAAACCTTCAACTTGACAAGCAGGGGAGGATGCATGCAAGTGAATCAGGACAATGGGTTCGGAAGCCCCTGAAGAGGACTTCGTGGTGGAGTAAAAAGATACAAATGATTACTAGAAAGAAAAATATGTTTTTAGGACTAGAAAAAATACTACTAAGATTTATAATGATTATAAATATAACTTCTGACAAAAAGGATAATAAGCAAAACAAAGCCTTTAACTTTTGATGATTAATGTAAAAATGCTAAAGAATAAGAAGAAAAAGATACGTATACTAAGGAAAATTATAAGAAATTTAAAGGCCAGTCAAGTTTGTTGCAGAATAAGGAAAAAAAAAGTGTCAAGGACATGCTAAAATTATTAAAGATATATAACAATCATTAACTAGTACTAAAGTAATTATGTGGTAATCAAAGAGTTACCAATCCTAGTAGGATTACATTAAAGAATCAAGTCTTGTTTTTCTGAATTAATTATAGAGATGCTCATAAAAGAATATTTGAAGTGAGGTGTCTTTATATTTTAAGATATAAATTATACTTAATACTTTGTGTTGTGTAGTTATATGAATCTTATAACTTTGTAGTTTTTTTAGTTAAACTAAGTATCGGTTTCGCTATATAATGCATTTGTTCATTATAACTATATCATATGATATTTTAAAATTCCATTTGGATCCCTATCATATAGCAACTGCTAAACAAAAATAAAGTCATTTATTTACTAATGAAATACTACTCAATAGGTTTACATTAATAATTAAAGGTAATATTCCCGTTAGAACCTTTCAAACTAACTAATTTAGTTATGATAGCTTATGCAAAATAAATAATAATAATAAAACGATAAATAACATATTCATATAAAAACATACAAAAGAAAAAAAAGAATGAATATCCAAGATATTTCCTTACATGAGTAGAGCATCCCTCCACGAAGGCTCCAAATAAAAGGAATAATTCAAATCTAAATCTTTGAGTGTTGTATTCTCATCAATTTCAATTTTGTCAGAAGAACGCCCTAGAGAAGATCCCTTTAAGTCAAATCTTCGATGAATTCTTAATTCTGTGCAAAACATGTTTCCCATTACAACGAACCGGAACTGCAATTAAAAAAGATGAAATATATAAGATGAGATAATAGTTTATATTAGACAAAAAGCAGAATATCATTATTGGTTTCTAGTTAGCACCTTTTGACCACTAAAAGGTTTCACCCTGTGGAGACCAAAAAATTTGGTTATAAGCGTATTCTCGTAAGTTCTTACATGGTGATGATAATTCGGCAACATCCGCAGCAACACCTACATGAGTACTTGGTTAGAAGAACCATGCAATAATCATATGTCATCCTTTCTATTTAAGATGAGATAATAGTTTATATTGGACAAAAAGCTAGTATTATCATTTCCTAAGATATTAAACTTGTTCATTGCAAATCATTTTGAATAACTTTTATTTGTGTTTTCTTAGGCTCTCTCTTTTCCTTCCTGAACTTTAGAAATTAATTTTATCTACCCAGTTAATGGATGTATTTTCTACTATTCAATGTATATATCCAAATTATCTAAATCTATTTTCAATTCAGTAAATATATGTCACTCCAACCGTCTCTTTAATATAAACATTCCTTAATTTATTCTTCCGAATGTTTCCACATGTCCATCTTAAAATCTTAAAGTACTGAATTCTTCTTTTGTATTTTAATTCCCCATTAACATCATGATCAAACATTGGAATCTTTGTAAAATAGGTCATCTTTGTGTACAACAAATGTTTGGTAAGGGTACTAACAGAATTTCTTTGAATATCATAGTGAAAGTTCATCTCAAAAATAACAGTTGCGTCTTTTAAATGGGCGTATTTGAGACACCGTCAACAATTTAATTTACAGACAAAACTACAAATCCTTTTATCTACTAAAGAGCAGAACTAATTAAGTTCTTAGAAGCTGTAAGCATCAGGCTTAAAGTAATAACTAGCAAGGTCAAATAGTGCAGTTACTTGAACTTGCTACTGAAAGAACCAAACAAGACAAATTGATGCAAATATTTCATTATATCACAAAAATAACCTCTTCAACTTTGGTGGGCAAACTTTACAAATCAACTTTCATACCCATCCAACATTAATAATGCATGTGAAGCTTTGGACTAAATCCTCTATCATATAATTGAAAAACATGTAGTGCAGAAATATCAAATAGTCAGCCTTCACTAATAGGCTTTGAAAACAAATTGGATCATTGGTGAATCTATCCCAATATTGGTTCAAGGCTCGTGACTCACGCAACATGCAGGTCATTTGGATATTTACCATGGAACAATAAAGTTTAAGAATAGATGACTCTCACAACATAGCCATGTAATTGATTGGCCTCTTAATGTACTATACTTGATATAATTTACATTTGGGGGCGGGGGGAATTGGAGGGAGCACTAATATGAGGAAGAGATTGTTTGCTCAGGACTTAATGACGCTTAGGCACGAACCCCGCTTTCGCAAGCTTTAGGTCCCATTTTTTCTGAGGTAGATTAAAATTTAAAGTAACTAGATTTCTCCCTATGATTGACATCAGCACTTCCTATGAGTGCAAGCCCTCATAGTTAATTACCCCTCCTAATGCTTAGAAGAGAAATCTCGATTAAGGATGAATCGATGTTAGATGTACAACAATTTTAATTTTGGTTGTGGGGGATGAGGTAAACTCAATAAAGATTTCATGGTTCCATCGTCCCGGATATGCCTTAGGGATGGGCCGGGACTCCATTTGCTTTAAGAATAGGAGGGGGGCTGCTCGACCGGTCATACGGAAGTAGAGGGACCGGGTGCCGCTTAGACTGGTGTTGCATATGGAGGGAGGCCAGGAGGGCACGTTCAAGGAAGCCGACGGAGGCGGACACGTATGTTGGAGCCGTTGTGCGAAACGAAACCGGGTATATGAATCGAGGCCAACACACGGGATAGAGATCCAGTATGGTCTGTCTACGCAAATTGGGGCAGACAAAGGTGCTCGCCGGCTCGGGTTCGGTGCCAGATCATGCTTGTTCACTTGAGACAGAATAATAGTCTTCATTCGGGAGTAGAACAATCCAGATTGTGAAAGAGCACAAGTGAGTGTAAGGAACAGTTGCTCCAATAACGTGGGTCACTTCAAAGTCGTGGGGATAAGACAACGTGCAATACTCTTTTTTTTGTTTGCTTTGCCGACTTAGATTTCTTTTATTATTATTTATTATTTTTATTTTTCAACCAAAATTTTTAAGGCACATGAAGTCTTGATGATGGGGACATAATATCGTGGAAATTTTATCAGAGATGCGGCCGCCGATCTACGGCCACGATCGAGTCATTATATTTCTGAGTCATTTGTGTTATTTATTTATTCATGTATTTTCTTATTTGCTTAGGTGTCATCTTGTTTTCCCGTTGTACCCTTTTATGAAGGGAGGTCGTATGTAAGCCCAAAGGAGCATTTGTGTCTTTTGTTTTGAGTCCTTTGTATGAGGCTATTTAAAGCCCCCTTTGTTCTATTTTAATTAATGAATGATTGCTTATTAAAATTCCTTCTTGCATGAGCATTGAGATCTTGAGAGTTCTAATGGAGAGAGCTTCCTAGGAGAGGAAGAAGTTTGGAGCAATACCTACCAACCTAGATAAGTCGGGTTCGTGGTTTCTTTCGTTTATCTCGTTCTCTTCTCTTCCCGTTGTTTCCCCCATATCCCCTCCCTCCTCACCTAGCCGCCGGATCCCCTAGCACCTGAATTCCCCCTCCACAAATCTCCCTCAACCTCACGGCACAAGCCCAACCCGAACCCCATGCCGCCGGCTCCATCCATCTAGCCGCCGCCCCCTCCCACTCCTTTCTCCCTCCAAGATTCCTTGCTTAATTTGGATGGCCATATTTTGGGCTGATTTCTAATTCAAAATTATATATTTTGAAATTCGAAATCTTTCCTAATTTATGAAAGCTATTTTTGAAAAGTTTCCTCATTAAAACTTATTTGAATTTAAAATTCAATTAGTATTTTAAAACTCCTTTCCTAATATTCAAATCCAAATCAAGCATCATTAATTGCTCTCCACAAATCCCTCCCTAATGCCGCCGGCCCCCCTTGCTTGGCTTTGGAATTATTTCCTAAACCTCCAACTTTGCTATAGGAAATTATTTCAATTCTCCTTGATCTTTGCTGGCCGAATTTCCCTAAGCCTCAATTTGCTAATTTATGTCCTAAACCCAGGTAACAACTTAGGAAATAAATCCCCCTCCTTTTTCCCTTGTACCGCCGGCCCTCTCCCTCTCTCTCAAAACCGAATCTCTCTCTCTCTCTCTCTCTCCTTCTTAATTACTTCAAGGAGATTAATGCCTCAAGACTTCTCCCTCTAATTCCACCTTGTTACTTTAAAAATCTGAAACTTCCCTTCAGATTTTGGAGATAAAATCTGGAACTAATTTCAGATCTTGGTCAAGAGTCTTGATAGTTTGTTTTCATCAACTTGCAAGAGAAACTTCTTTCTCTTTGCCATTGTTTACAAGGAGTATCAAAGGCTAAGGAGATTTCACCTTCACTACTCATGAATGGCGGATCCGGAGATTGAGTATGGGATAACTTGGGACGAAGACGGCTTCACCGACATCCTACGATCCACCTTCTTTGACGTGAATTTGGAGATTGACTACACCGTTGAAGACTACGTGGAGCGCATCCTATTTGCCTTGGCGGAAGCCATTGACAAACACTTTGAAGGCATCGAGTGGAGTATCTCCACCTCTCCCTAACGAAGGTTTCTCTTTTCCCTTGCATCTTATTCCTTTTAGTCTAAACTCTCGTTGGTTTGATTAAAGTCACGACGGACTCTTAGGCCTTGCTCTTGCTTAAGCTTAGTAATCGTAGGAATTGAGCGCACCTTGATGCATCATAATTCTCATTGTTAGACTAGGGATTATTTTGAAGACTACTACTATTTGTTGTGTTATTTTTCTTATTTATTTTTGGAAGCTTCAAAGCTCTCATCATGAGATTTAAGCCTAATCGGATAACCACTGATTGTTTTATTTTGTTGTTCGAATTTGCCCGTAGCTTTATTCTTGAATTATTCTAATCATAAGTTGTGCAAATCCAAATGAATTAAGCATTGCATACGTAGTCCTGCATCACTTGAATTTCTATCCGCATCCGATAGTTCAAAAATAAGTTGGTATAAACATATCAAGTGATTGGCCCTCCCCAGTAGGTTTAAGCTTTAGCTTTTGGATTCAAAATAAATATGACCACTAGTGTATCTAGCCCATTTTTGGTTACATATACCATCCTTGTGTTAAAAGAGATAAATACCTGCACTTCGGATTTGCGTAGTGTCTTAATCATAAACCGGTCATCTTGAGAGAGGAAAAAGACACTGCCACTCTTCCCTGGAGAAGAAAGCTCTCTCAATGCAGAATTTCCACAAATTGATATCATGTAGTCTGCAGCATCAATCTTGAACATTTCTCTTAAGTTTCTACAGTAAAATAAGAATTAATACACATCAAATGAAGGTATTTTGACATGGGAACTCCATGCAACTTTCACCTAAAGACCAAAAGAATTGTTAGAGCTTCTTCAAAAATATAAATATTGTCAAAACTAACCTGAAGACCATGGGACAATAATCTTTCCACTTAAAATCTTCTGAGTGATGGGAAGGTGTTAACTGAGAGCCAGATTTGGGAAAATCCATCCAAAAGCTTGCACGAGGACCAAAATCTGATGTACGAACTTCACGCCTTTGTATTGGTGTAATTTTTCCAACAGTGTATCTGCAGATTTAAAGTTAGAACCAGCACATGTTAAGTTTCACTTGCCAAACAAATTTTACACTTATATTCATGCATGAAATCACTCGTGAATGCATGCAAACAGGTGGAACCTGCACGCATAATAGGTATATACATAAAAATTGTCCCCATAAAAAAGTTAACAGAGCCCATTCTAATACGAAGAGTGAAGAACCGAACTTACCTGATTCCAAGCTGCAGACAAAGCATTAAATCATAACTTCTGTGACCCTTGATTATGGTCTCCCCAGGCTTTTTGATGCCAATTAATTTTTTTTGACGTCTTCTCTCGCTTCTAGATGAGGCAGAAAAGCTATTGTTAATCACAAGCTCACTGATAAGAACTCCTTGCATGTATTCCCGTTCTAAAATTGGAACATTAGGATCAACTGGTTCCTCACTTTCACGGAAACTCTCGCCAGAACTTAAAACAGAATTGTGACCTATGACTTTTTCAATTGCTACCTCAAGGCTCCATCGTCTCTCCAGAGCTACATTTCCCCCACGAGACTGCTCAAAATTTAAGAGATTGCCTTGGGGAAGATTGTCAGATGAGACACCAGTAGATCCTCGTGTGTCATTAACCTTGATGATTCCTATATCAATAGAAGATGAATGACGAATGCGAGAGCCATGACTTTGCCTTTTCAAATCAGGAAGCAATCCTCTCTTCCTTAAAGCGTTAATGTAACATTCTTGTGCAGCAGGTATTTTACTTCCTTTTGGATAAAAGGTACCTTTTCCATCCTTTAAACCTCTAGTCCATGTACCAACATAGCAGCCACCATCATTCCAGGTGTAAACTCCACATCCATGCATCATACCATCTAACCAACTCCCTTCATAGGCATCCCCATTTTCCCAAGTAAGGGTTCCCTTACCTGACATCTTCCCACCTCTCATATAACCTTCGTAAATGTTCTTGTTAGCCCAGACATATTTTCCAAGTCCTTCAATATTTCCTTGAATCCAAGAACCATTAAAAACATCTCCATTAGGAAAGCTTTGCTGTCCTAGCCCGTGCTTGAGATTCAGCTTCCAGCGACCATTATAGGTTGACTTATCTGGCCCAACATAAAGGCCAGAACCATGCATATAGCCACCAGAAAATTCACCATCATAAACAGCTCCTGAAGGCCATGTAAGTTTTCCCTTACCATGCCTCATTCCTCTTCGCCATTCACCTTCATAAGTATGACCATCTGACCAGATATACTTTCCTGACCCCTCCGGTGTGTATCCCAAAATTGTTCCCGAGTACATATCCCCATTGGGAAGTAGGAGTTCACAAAAAGTTGTATCACATAAATGATAAGCTTGTCCATTGGCCACAATTGATGGTTCCTTGTAGAAGCAACTGGCATCAAAAGACTGGCTATCTCTCCGTGAAAAAGATGGCAGTGGTTCCACCTCATGTGCAGAAACCACAGGGGCCGACATGCACAATGAATTAAAGGATTCAGACCACCAGTGAAGCTAAACCTCAAAGCACTGCACCTACAAAAATTAAAAGTTAGATGTAACAAAAGAAATTTTCAGTATCAGATGAATCTTCTCAAAGTACTTGAGACCTGCATTCATAAAGACGTCAGAAATATAAGAGTGACTCAAAATTAAAACGATGCTTGATTCCAAACTTAAAAGGTTATACCTCTCATTACAGAAAGATAATATAAGAACAAACTAAGTAACACAAAAGACAACAGGCTCCAAAAAATTCTTATTACTTACTGTAACTGCAGTAAAGGATGAAATAAAATGTTGCTTTATAGAATGTTCCTAAAATATGAAGGCACCGGACAATGACTTTGTAGACTTGGAACTTAGGTTTAAACGCCTAAAGATATGTATGTAATCTAAATTAACATGTTTCTTTCTACCCGTGTAAGTTGAAATCTCGACGTCTTATGGAAAACCTTCTGCGCCATAAAACCTTAGGAAAGTGAAAGATGCAGAAAGAAAACTGATAACATCGTTTTATCCCAGTGGAGTTCTAAGGATCAGATTATCTCTTTCTAGTTTAAGGATGTCTTGTCATGGCATTACGACCTGTTAATTAAAAGTTGCCATCACTCCACTTTCTTTACTTCAAACTTTGAAACAATACTATTATTTTGCTTAATCATATAAAAAGTGAATCAATTTTGTAATGTATTTGTCCGATTTTACTTAAAATGTTCCGCAAAGCACCACAACGGTGTTTAATTCCTATGTATAGGCTTGTAAGCCCAATTGACAAAAAGAATTGAATTTCATATTAGCGCTCTCCCTCTGCTCCCTCTCTTCCCTCTCGCTCTCTCACTCTTGCAAGAAGCTCAAGCTTCCTCCCAAGAATTGCATAACAAGTGGTATCAAAGCCTCGTTAAAGCGATCTCGAGGTGAAGGAAGTTTCTGTCCAAGAAAGGGAGGTTGGATAGGCCGGTTGTGCACATGATAGGGATGCATAGTCGGGCGTTGTTCGATCGGAGTCGCCTCGTGCCATCAGGGGAGCAAGTGGAGCGTGTGGAGCACAGGCGTAAGAGCGTGCTTTTGAAGATCGCACGCGTAGGCTGGCTTCCGCATGAGATTGCGGGTGGGTCGGAGCAGGTAGATGCCAGGGGCAAGCGAATGGATCGTGCGCTGGGCACAAAGGCGAAAGTGCCACATGGAACAGACAGTTCCAGAGTGGGCCCTGTGAAGACGCAAAGGCAGGAGATGCGGTTCACGCGACATGGTTCTTGGATCACGATCGCGGAAGACAACGGGTTTTGTTCGTGGAAGTCAAAGCGAGTGGGCTCGTTCATGTGTATATGAGGTGTGGGAGTAGGATTTCACTCATGCAAACCCATTCACGAGTGGAGCAGGCAGAAGCGGGTGTTAAGAGCGGTGCAAGCGAAACAGAGGAGGGCGTGAATTCGCGTGAATAGGGCATGCCAGATCGCCGACTACATGCAAGATAAGCTCTTGCCACATAAGAAGCTAATCAACGATAAGGACATTTAGTGGGACCCTTGCGACATCAAGAATGACAATCAGCTCATCTTGGCTCAAAAACGTGAACTAACCAGCAGCAGAGGCCTCACATGGGATTGTTCGCATAAGGCGGATAGGAGACTTTTTGTAGGTCGGGTTCGAAAGTTAGGAGGGTAAATAAGGGCATGGGAGGTGTCGTTCAAGATCTTATGCACGGGAGCGGGTTGGGTAGTGTGTCGGAGCAAGCCAAAAAGGGTTTTGCACGATTTAAGCCATATTTTCCTCGTGTGCAGGCTTTTGTGCGAGCAAGCGGACAGATCTTTGAGGTGGAGCCTTTGGGTCAAAACACGAGCAATTCAACAAGAAGGCACATTTGGTTGTTGTGTGTCAGAGCAGTGGATCAAAATCGGCAAGATTAAGAACCTCAGGGCGGCAAGCTGGTCGCAGACTCAAAATTGGACGGGTGGCTCGTGCAAAGTCGTAGGTCGAAGAGCGCATGGGTGCCAGGGGAAAACTGGAGAGCCGGAGTACACTCGATGCTGAAGCGCGGGTGTGCCGCACAGGAACAAAAGCGTGGGCCAAAAGCACGCAGAAGCAGTCAATGCACAAGGTACGAGCATGCAGATCACAGGAGGAATAATGACGAGTGCAGGCGAGCGTGGGTTAGAACGTGTGAGAGCACAAGCTGGAGCAGTGGATCGAAACACATAATGAAGGACAGGTGCAAGATAGATAGGGCTCGATTCGGTGGATTTGCTCAGGGAGTTAGTACAGGTCGCAACAAACGCACATGTGATTCTTTGATCGTAAAATCGAACCAAGGTGGAGATTGTTGTGTATTGGTCCAATTTTAGATTAATTTATTCTTGCATCACATCACACCAGTGTAAATTCCTATAAATAGAGGTTGTTTAGAATAATGTAAGGTGACCCTCTCTTGTAAGCCCAATTGAATAAATGAAGTGGATTTCCTATTAGCATTGTCCCTCTCTTCCCTCTCCCTCTCTCCTCTCTCTCTCTCTTGCAAGAAGCTCAAGCTTCCTCCTAAGAATTGCATAACAAAAAATCCATTGTCTTCCGCTCCGACTAATCTAAAACCGGATCAATACACAACAAATTTAATTGCACGTTTTAACAAAAAATGCTAAAGGACAACCTCCTTAACAGCTTCGATTGAGTTATGCTAATTTAAAAACTCGAAATCTCATCAAAATTTTATCCATTTTGACCAAATGTTTCTTGGCACAACATTTCTAGAGATCAATAATCATAAGAGTACTCCAGCATCAACACACTTTAACATTGAAGTTCTCAATAAAAATCCAACCAGTATGCAAAAAATATTTGATGATTAAGAGTTTAACTTCACTATGCATAGAAGGTTTCACAATCCTCACACTTAAGTAACTAAAGTTCTTGCTAGTGATCTTATGTAGCTCTGAATTATCCCTCATATAAATAGGATTCTAGAGATGGTCAGTTGATGTTTAAGAAATGGATTAATTCCACCATCTAGTGCTTTACCCCAAATTGGTTCAAGGGCCATCTCTCATAAGCACTTTGACATGCATGAAACTTAGCTCTCATCTATGAGGTGTCATGATGCACCGACACTTTTCCTCAAAGAGGTATGCAGCATTAGACACGTATCAGACACCACACGTGTCTGACACACCTCCGACACATATCAAACATGTTGAAGATGTGTCTGATTAAAAAAATTTAAAAAATAAATTGGACATACGTGTCGCAAACATGTGTCTAAAATATTTTATAAAAGCCCCTATGCCATTTGGACATCTCATCTTTATTCAATGTCATCTTAACATCGACAATCAACATCATCTCGAGATCGATGATCGACGTCGTCTTGACATTAATATTCGATGCCCATTATACAACAACGCCCGACCGTTGAAAACATTGTCGCCTCCCCTCTTGATGCCTATCACAAAATCGAAACCGACCATTGACATCCTAATATTAATCCCTTTATGCACAAATCCTAATTAAATTACATATTATTTCCCTAAACTTATTATTTCTTAATTATTCTTAATATTTTGCTTTTTCAAATTTTATACACTATTTTTAATATATAAAAATTACAATACCGTGTACAACCCATGTTCGTGTCCTATATTTCAATAATTGATGTGTCATGTGTTCGTGTCATGTCGTGCCAGTATCTGTGTCGTTGTGTTCATGTTTGTACATCATAGATTAGGTGGTGTATTTCTCTCATAACCATTTATAACTAATCATCTAATCTCTCATTAAAAAAATAAATAAATAAAAGCTATCTAATCTCTCATCAATCGATAATTGTTCACTTTGGCCTAACATACCTCATGATTTCATCCCCTAGTGAAACTTCCTAGGAGCCAAAATATCTTAAAAATACTCCAGCATGAGCTAACAAATGTTACAAGTTCCCATTAAAAGTTTCAATTGTAACACCAAAAGATGTCTTGATATATGTAAGTTCTACTTTATTGCATTGTGGCCTTGTGGGGTCTCACAATCTTGAATGGGTTCAAAAGGTGACTTCCTAGTGCAGCACTTTGGCATGTATGAAACATAGTTCTCATCTTCTGATTAATATATTGCTTTCATATATTTGTAATAATTCAAATACATACCATTAAGATATTGGCAACTTTAACCTACTATGCCTCATAATTTAGTTCATTTTTTTGCAACTCAAAAAGTCGTCCATCCTAGGAGAGACCAAGAATGAGCAAACTTAATGTTTTAGTTCCCAATGAAAGCCTTACCATTCACTAAAAGGAAACTCAATATTTAATAGCTTAACTGCACTATTTTAGAGGTCTCTCTTGCAACAACTTCTAAATTCTCAAATGAACTCTCTCAATTATTGCCAAAATTACAAATATAAATTGGTCGCTCTTTCATGCTTGTGAGTTGTATAAATTAATCATAAAACTGATAGGACATTGTAAACTACTAGTATTGATCCTGCATGAGTTATATATGGATTCCTCTTGATCACGTTTCCTTTCTTTATTTTAAATATTTGGTTAAGATTTAATTTAGTATTTTGGGCTGAGCGAAATTTTGTATTTTTTTAAAGAGATCTTCTGATTAATTTGACTTTTATCAGTCTTGACTTGTAATCTATTCGTAAATTGTATTGAAATGGGGTCTTATAATTCACGTTAAAGTGCAAATCAAGAGAGTCAAGGAGTGGGAAAACAGTCGGATTGGGTTGCCTATGCAACTGAGAGAGAATGTAGATTGCACAGCTTACTACAACAGTAGGCTGCTTCTTCCTTTGTTTCGCCAAGTGCAACGGATAATTGTTGTTTCTTCTTATTCTCAATCAACATCAACAATCGCATGGGAAAATTACAATCAAATAAAAGCTAAGGCAATTGGTTGCAAAATCTAGAAGCAAAACATCTAGATTTTGCCATATGTGAAGTTTAAATGCAAATCATAATTGTAAAATGCTAGTGCAGATATAGTGAAGAAAGATGGCAAAATATTGCACCATCACCATTTGTGGCGCATGTACTTGGAGGTAAATCTTAGGGAAGTAAGATTTAAGAGGTTAAACTCGTGTTCCCTTATTTAAATATTAAATCTTGAAAGAATCTATTAAACTGTTCATTAAAATTTAACCAAAATTTATATGTATTATGCCAAATGTTTTTCAAGATTTAATGCTTTCGAGATTTACTAAATCTGAATTTACGAATTACTAAGAGCATCTCCAACCGAAAATCCCTTTTTTCACTCCAAAATGCAGTGAAACTAAAAAAATGTCACGATTCATTTCCAATCGAATTCCATTTTGCATGTTTCTGCCAAGGTAATCATCTTTCTCCTCTTTCACGCATTTTTTCGGCAAATCCGGTTGAGACAGAAAAATTGCATAGGTGAACAGTGCCACAGCAATATTGGCGTTGCACTGTTCACCGGCAAGCAAATAGCGGAAGATTTGGCATTCAACTGGAGCGATCAAAGGACATCATACGCATATTTGGTGATGCCCTAAACCTACTTTAATTAAATCTGCACTTGTAGCCAAACAACCTCATAAAACCCTCTCTAATGAGGATTACCGGATCGCCAGCTTCAATTGGGTAACTACCCAATCGTACCCCCACAAACCCCAATTTCAACAAAAAAAATATAAAAAGCATAAAAAAAAAGTACTACAGTGCAATCCCTTAAATCTTCATTGCAAAGCACGCATTTTCTATTAAAGGGGGTCAAGTGCTGTTCTCTAGCTGCAACACTGAACTCAAACTCTATCTAATTCACAAGCAACTTAGCAGCCAAAAAAGAAGTCCAAGTAAAGAAAGTAACAAAACTCGATCAATAAAAACCCAGAAAGCCATATCTTGCTCTCAATTATCACAAGACGCAAAAAGGATTCATCCCCACCTCTCCTCTCCAAAAAACCAGTTCCTTAAAATCCAACTCCTACGTCCTCAAAACCAGCCCCCAATCTCCAGTTTTCGTAAGATTACCAAGATCCTCTCCTTCACTCAGAAAGCCAAATAAACAAGCTCCTTTAGAGATCCAAGCAAAAACTAATTTATTCTTCGTAATATTAGAAAATTCAATCCAGCAAGAATGATAGAGTGAGAGAGAGTGTACGTTTCTGAGCTGCCGCTCGATTGAGCTCAGCTTCGGAGGAAGCCAGCAGTGTGAAGGAGTTGAACTTCGACGGGGCCGTGACAGGTTGAGGAGATTCGCAGGGGAGAAAACGAGATCCGACGACAGAACGAGGGTACAGAGTTAAACTCAGTAAAGCCTTTCACAGCTTCCATCAACAGATGAGAAAGAGAGAGAGAGAGAGAGAGAGAGAGAGAGAGAGAGAATGTCAAAACAAAAAGGTGAGAGAAAGAGAGAGAGATTTCAAAACAAAAAGGAGAGTCGCGGTCGGTAATGGTCAAAAGTGAACCCAGGCAAAGAAGGGCCCGCCAGGGGTAACCAGATCGATCCTGTGCAACACGAATATTCAACTTGTTTGAAAGTTGAAGTTGAAACCTGTTAAATATATCTGCTTTAATAGTTGTAAAACATTATAGGATGAGGATCTCCATAAAGCTAAACTTTGTCACACCTATCGAAGCAAATCTAACGGTCAGCAAGCGGTTAATTCTTGAATTATGTAACTGGAAGAGAATATCTCTTTTTTTTTTTTAGAGAAGGTCACCTAAATTGAAGTCTGGATAGCATGAATTTTTTTAATAGAAGCAGAAGCATCGATCCACCACCACCAGCGGACCAATAATAGCACGGAATGTAGAAAATAAGGCTGAGGTTCCGCTGGGATTTCTCCATCCATACCTATAAATTTCGGCAAATTATAGTAACAAAGTAAATTTGCAAGTAAATTTGGCTATTGGTCGGCAAATTATATATTTTCTTCTGTGCAGTTTTCCTTTCTATTTTATGGGAGGCCTGTGAGACAGATTTAGATTAAAATATTTACATCTATTTGCAATAAATGTATAGTTAAAATGAGCGTCATAATAAAAAAAAAAATCTAATGATAAAAAGAATATCTTAATTTGAGCTCAAATGGATCGAAATTAGACCTTTTGAGAGATCAAATGATCTCCAATTTTTACATACTATAAATTAATGAAAACAAGATCATCCAATTATGAGATTATTGAGGCTTCTTTATATTTTAAAAATCTTGAATAATACAGTGAAATCAACATGCATTATTTGATGGAGATAAGAACTAGATAACTGCAATGCTTCTCCAAAAAACTTATAAATTGATCATACTTCTACATATTAGCAATGATTTTAAATGAGAACACTTTGAGACTCAAAGAATTCCAAAGCTCTGCATGCTAGCATCCAAAACTCATCATTGATGTTGTTGATATTCATCATCGTCCGCCACCAACGTTCGCCATTGTCCGCCAACAGTACTCTTGATGTCCTCCACTATCAATTGCCACAAACAACTGTCAATGCCAAACCTCCCATAGTACTCACCGTCAGTCATCGCTAACACTTCTCATTCATCATCATCCATCACTAAATAGAGCCAACATGCTTTGTCTTCCATGTCCTCCAATAATTGGCAATAGCATATTTTCCTTCCTTGTAATGTCACCTTCAATGTGACAAGAAAAGATGAATCATTGTAAATTTCAATCAATATAATTAAATTATTCAAATACTATGATCTTATCCTTTTCAAAATGCTCCACATAAAAAAATCTAATGCCACTTGTGACTCATAATCTACCGTTTATGTTTGTGTTAAATTTTCATGCAAATCTTCTCTCTCTCCCCTCCCCCCTCCCCTCCCTTCCTTCTCTCTCTTATATATATATATATATATAATGAGAAGATATTATACAAACCAAACTTATATCTAATTTAGAAAAATAATTTGAAAGCAAGTAAAATTTTAAATTATAGAATTTCAAGGGATTATAGTATTATTTCTTAGCCAAATATTTATAAAATTATCCAAGGCCAAAAATCATTTAAAGATGCATTTTAATATACATCTTTAAACATTAAGTACTCAAGGGTGTTGTGGTGAGTTTCTAAATTGAATTTTTCCTGTGACTATTACTTGACAAGCCTAACCCCACTAAAAAAGGATCTTCTAGTCTCTCCCAAGAAGACCACATTCACAAGGACAAATTAATTCCTCAATTCGCACTTGCATGAGATACACCAATTAAAGTGATTGTAGCAAGATTATGCTAAGGAGCTCCCCTTCAAAATCAATTGCATGTTGAGAATGCCAAGTTGAGGACACCCTTATAGTGATCACCAAGATGGAATTTTACTCCTAGTTAATGATGACCTCCATGAAATATCCAACAAAACTTACTTGGCCCTCAAGTTCCATGCAAGTGACGTGACCAACTTCGAGATAAGCAACGAGAGAGAACTTTAATGGAATTACATAATTGAGAACTAGTAACTGGACAAGGGTTGAATCAAGAAATAACTCTCAAGAGGGCATGTGATACACGATGGGAATCACACTATGAATCAATTTTTCGATTGATTACAATTTTTTATTCCCCTTAATTATTGATATTCTAGAAGTGGTTGTTGAAGATGGTATTAGTTCTGAACAAAAAGGTGAGGTTTTGTATTATTAGGGACAATGCAATCTTTTGAATTTTCATTCTGTTTACTATTGATGAAGGATATACTTGGTATAACTGCTGAGTTATCACAAGCTTTGCAAAGAAAAGAACAAGACATTGTAAATGTTATGTCTTTGGTTCAAATATGTAAAAAAAGGCTGCAAGTTATGAGAGATAACAAATGGGAAGAGTTCATAACCAAGTTAACTTCTTTTTGTGAGCAACACAAAATAGATATTCCTGACATGAATGATAGATGGGTTGCTCGGGGACGGCCTCGTCGTAGAGCTCAAGATATGATAAATTTACATCACTTTAGAGTTGAAATTTTCTACATAGTTATTGATATGCAACTTCAATAGTTAAATAATCGTTCCACAGAGACGAATACTTAGTTACTTTTATCTATTGCTTGTTTGAATCCATCTAAATCTTTTTGTTCATTCAGTAAAGACAGATTAATTCGAATGACACATCTTTATCCATGTGATTTTACTTATGTTGAATTGGAAATTCTAGACAATCAGTTGAAAACTTATATCATGGATATGCAGTTAGATCCACAGTTCTCATTGTTAAAAGATATTGAATACCTTGCTGAGACAATGATCGATACAGAACAAGAAAGATATTTTATATCATCTTATTTTCAGGCTATTAAAACTCGCTTTAGTTTTGCCGGTTGCAACAGCAGGAGTAGAAAGAGTATTTTCTGCAATGGCTATCATTAAAACTCGACTGCGAAATAGGATTGGAGATCAGTGGATGAACGATAATTTACTCGCATATATTGAGAAGGAAATATTGGATTGTATTGAAAATGATGTAATTGTTAATCTTTTTCAAAATATGAAGACTAGGCGCTATAAATTGTAAGTATTTTCTATCTTATATTTAGTATTCAATCTTTTTTTAAAAAAATTTAAAACTGCCTATGCCGGTCCCAAGCCCGGATGCAAAAAAGTTGAGGGAAAAATTTTTAAGGAATTTGTCCATAGATTGGGACTGATGATGGCTCTAAGTTTATGATACTTATGGGCGAGTGTGTTATACATTAGCAATATATCTTTCGGAAAACAAAGTACAAAGTAAATAGTTTATAATAATTTGTAATACTTTTTGGTGCACTTAGATCAACCGAATTGGCTAAACCAGTTGTATCATTCCAAATGATGATAATATTTTTTTCTTATAAAAATAATTATTTTTAAATACTTTCTTACATAATAAAAATAAATGTGTTATCCTTCAATAAAATAAAGTACAAATAATATGGCCACAATCTAGCAATTCCTGTTGTAATGCAGGTCTAAAATCTGGACCACAAGGCAACAAACAACCAATGACTTGCCACCACAACTAGGAAAACCCACAGGCGAGAGTTAAGAAAGAGGTAAAGCCAAACTCCCCATGAGACTCCATCCAAGTATTATCCCAATAGTCCTAGCTCAAAACCTAATTATAAATACTCGTTAAAACATAAGAGCAACAACCCAATCTAAAGGTGGTATAACAAACAAAAAACTCCACAAGACTTAGGTAGGAAGTAACAAAAGCCAAAACTCACATAAGGCTACAACCATGAGGTGAGTAATTTGGGTTGACCTAAGAACTATTCAAAAATAACAATCAATGCAAGCTTTTTGTAATTAACTTTTCTTTCTTTTAAGTACTCTGTTTTACATGCAGTAGCTTAGATTTATAAGCATTCATTCAATTTATTATGATGTACTGACTCTTCATTTGTTTGTTTGCAGGTGTTTGTAGCCAATAGTTATAGTAGCCAAGGCTTACACTACCCATAGGTAGCTATAGGAGCTCATATATGAAAGACTTTGGAGGGCTTGCAGGGTGTTTTGTTTATGTTGGAGAGTTTTAGTTTGTGTTGTAGGGAGTTTTGAGAGTTGTTGTGAGGGTTGTAGTTTGAGGGGTTTAGAGAGCACTTATCTATGTTTATGGATATATAAACTATATGAACATGTGTGTAGGCTGTTGGAATGAAATGGGAAAGTTTAACCAAGAATATAAAAGAAATTGAGCAATTAACGATGATCAATTCATTGATTACACTCCAAGCTTTTTCTAAATTGAATTGAGCCTATGACTATTACTTGACAAGCCTAACTCCACTGGAAAAGGATCTTCTAGTCTCTCCTAAGAAGACCACATTCACAAGGACAAATTAATTCCTCAATTCGCACTAGCATGAGATGCACCAATTAAAGTGATTGTAGCAAGATTATGCTAAGGAGCTCCCCTTCAAAATCAATGGCATATTGAGAATGCCAAGTTGAGGACACCTTATAGTGATTGCTTATCACCAAGATGGAATTTTACTCCTAGTTAATGATGACCTCCATGAAATATCCAACATAACTTACTTGGCCCTCAAGTTCCACTCCTAATAGTTCAACTCCTCCAAATGATAAAGGAGAGTGGGAACTTGCATTGCCCTCTCCCAAAAGGAAAACGAAATGATTACAAAAGCGATGAAAGGAAATGATGACGATCCAATATATGTTGAGTTTAATAAAATATCTTCATCTATTTGTTTAATTATTTAGAAAATAAAACTGATTATTTTAAAATAAAATTTAATATTTAATATAAAATATAGATTAACTAACTAATTAATTTTAAAATGAAAATTAATTACATAGTTAATATAACTATTAATAATTATTTGTTAAATCATTTAAATATTTTAAAATTTATAAATTTTCTTTAATTTTTTAAAAAGCCGCCGGAAACGCCAAAAAGC